CTGCAGAAAATAGTTACTTTATCACTCTGATGGTTCAAAGGTGGTCAGAAGAGTTGAGATTCTTGTTACTTGTGTGCCTCTGGAGCTGCGGGGTGCTCAGTGACCAGCTGGCAAGCAATAAAAAGGGCTCGGTACAGTTTGCTTTTAAAACACTGGGATGAGAAGTTGTCAAGCACGTCTCAGTGCTTTCAGATGAATTTAAGGCTGAGATTGGTGTGACTTCTACCTGAGTTTGCTGTGTTATACCATCTTAAAGCTGCAAATACCAGAGACTAGTGCTGCCTATCTCTTACCCACAGAACAGAGAATTGCATGTTGTTTCTCTCTCACTGTTTGTAAAGGTTCTTCCTCATTATCAGGTAAAGATGAACCCCAGCCTGGGTAGAGATAGAAGCAACCTTGCTTTGTTTCTTATCAAGTTAAAGGTGAAAGAGCAGGTTCTGATAATGGTTAGGTCACTGGCACAGTGCTAAGAAATACATGATTCCAGCTGTGTGCCCACAGCGCAGCAAATTTAGGAAACATCATCCACTTTGCCTAAAAGTGTGTAAATTCTTAGATCAAAACGTGCATTCTTCTTCATTCTTAGGCTGTGTTAGAAAAAAAGAGTCCTCCTCAGCGCTGCCTATTAAGAGCCCTGAGGCTCAGCCATATGTTTTCCATTTTAGCCCCTAGATTTCTTACCACAACAGCTGTCTTTCTAGGTAATGCAGAATTCTTTCCACTGCCCACAATATTGTGTTTCAAATTTGTGGGTCTCTGCTGGGAAGCAGAAAGACAAGTTGTCTTTGAGTAGTATTGGAAGCCTAAAGTACTGACCAAATCTGATGAAAGCTTCCCACTTGGCAGCTAGGAGTGGTACCACTGTGGCATTGTAAACTACCTCTCTGCAGAACATTTCTGTTACTGAAACACTTATAATATTGGCCAATGTCATGTTGTAATTCCAGCTGCTCCATCAGAAAGTTCTCTCTTTTAGCAGTTTATAACCAGTTGATAAAGGACTGGGTTAAGCACAGAATCTTACTCTAACAAGCAGTTTTTTTCCTGCTAGACAGACACTGCCATGGTTACAAGATGTCAAGCCACAGCATTTAGCCCATTTTCTCACCCTGCTGCTCACCTGCATCCCTAATGAGATATTCTGGGAAAAAAAATACAGACTGCATTAGCCTTTCCTAAATCATCAAGAAGATGATTCTCAGACATTGTGGATTAAAGAGTTAAAGGATCCAAAATTTTGACTTCATGGAATAATAACTGATCCAATAAATATTTTAATTGTAAAGAGACAAATCAGTATTCCCATGGCATTGTACTCTTCTGGTTCATATGCTTTGTTTGCTTATGTATATTGAACATTCATTTCCTATCGTATCTAGTGGATTTGTGATATATGAAAATAGGTGGGAATTTAGGAGCTAGCAACGGTTTGATCTTCCTATTTTTACACCCTAACACTGAGTAATGTCATAATTCTATGTTTCAGATGAGATAAAATCAAATAGTTGGCTGTATTTAAAAGCATAAAGCTAAGTCAGATTATCAAAACATTTTGGATGCGACCTTGTATATAATTTTTTTTAATTTAGAAAACATTGCTATAGCCATACCACATGGAAAACTCCACAAAATAATCCAGACTGTGGATGCTTTATATTGTAACTTCTGAAAGTGGAAGGAAAAAACCTTAAAACTTCAAAAAGTTTATTTTGCCAGCATAGCAGTATACTATGAGTTGGTGATAATTCTTCTAATTAGGTCTTTCTGCAATTCTTAGTCTGATTTGTTATATTCTGTTAGTGTTATTTGATACAAATTTGCAGTAAAGATGGATAAGGATAAATCCCTACAAGGACTATATATTTGGGTTGATTGAGTGATTCAGCATATCAAGAATGGATAGGAGGACCAAATGCATAATTGAGAAAGCTGTCTGTAACAGATTTGTCCTTTTCCTCATGGCTCTAAGTCTGGATGGTGGAGTATATTCTTAACATTGCAGGTTGCACATTTTTTTTCATTATGATAACAATATTTCTCCTGGTTTACTTGCACACTGCTCCTGTAGTCATTCAGCAAGATTAACTTTACAAAACAGAGAAGAGTCTCTGGAGCCCCTTTGCTTATCTACTGACTTCAAGCAGTTAGGTGTGAGGATGTTCAGTTCATAGGACATGAGTTCTCACCTCCTATCCTTGTAAGATCCATTAAGTTATTTTTACTGACTTTTTTTTTTTGTATGCTGAAATTCTTGATTACAGTAAGCTATGCTTCATTTATGCCAGCACAGTATGAATCTTCTGCCTCCGTCCATGCAAAGAAAGTTATGAAAGTGTACCTCAGCATTTTTAGGTTTAGTTTTTATTAGATGTACAATAAAAAATAGGTGAAGGTAGTTATAAAGTTGAAATCTGAACAGTGGAGAGAATAAGCAGAGCTCTGGAAAACCTCTGGGAGCAAATCTGAAAATGTGGCTCTGTAGTAGAAATGCTGAATCATGGCTTGAAGCAGTGATTGAACATCTGGTGAGAAGGCAGGGCCACCCAAGGGAGCTCAGGTGCATGCAGTGTACCTGAGTGATGAGAAGGGGTGGAGCAAGGATGCACCCCTTACAAATCTCATTTAAGGGTTGGCAGTGGGGGTAGGGGGTTTTTGCTGGAGATTCCTGTGAGATCTTCTGACCTTCTGAAGGTAAGCAGCTTCTTTCCTTTATTTTTGTGCTTATGGGCATTGTATTTGAGTAAATCCTTACTTGCTGTAGCCTAGGACCTTGCTGCTCTGTGTTTTCCGTTACGTGGTTATTGCTATGGAGTAACAAGTATGTGGGTACTCAATATGAGGAGAATAGTTTGTTTTGATAAGTTTCATTTCCTGGGTTGGAGCTTTTTCATAGACTAACTCAATGAGGAGATACTTTTGGTGAGAATAAGAATTTATACAGTATTGGTCATCTTAAGAAAAATCTGGTATACTAGGCCTCTGGCAAAGGTATTTAGAGGAAATTGGAGGTCTAGAACTGAAGCTTTAGGTAAACTTAATATGACATATTTCAAGGGCAGCCAGGCACGTAGATATAGTCAGTCTGTACCAAAGGCAATGGCCTCATATGTATGGTATTAAAAGTTACTATTCAATGGTGGTTAGTACTTATTTGGAATATGGATTAAAAACCTCCTTATTCACTGAAGAGTCGCTACAAAAAGATGCACAAGGAATCTGAAAATCCCTTGACAAGCATTTGCACAGGAGCTGATGATAAACAAACCAGACCTAATACCTGGCACAACAATACTTTCATAGGACACGTTTTATTAACAGCTTTGTATGTCTTTTCTGCCTGTCTGGAGAATCCTTTATCCCCAAACCACTCATTGCAGATTTACTGTAAAATGTGGCTTGCTATTTTCAATCAGAATATGAGGAATGAAGGGAGACATATATCCAAAAGCATTAGCAGATAATACCCAACATCTCTGAAGGCGCATTTACTGAGTACTCCAATTTGACTGTGAACTCATGCTTAAATAGATATCTTTGTATTGCTGTTGATGTGTCATATTATTCTCATATGCTGGAGCAGGCTTACTCATTGTCTGGCTGGAGCAGTATATTGTAGCCCTTTCCCTTAGGGAGTAAAGGGAGGCTTTTTTTTTCTAGCTATAATTCTCAAATAAACCCAAAAATAAGGTGATATTTAGTGATGTGGGTAGTCAGTTATTCTCTCAGAATGCCAGCTGGTAATACAAAGACTGTACATATACTTTTATACTCAGAAAATTTATGTTACTGTACCATACAACTGGCAACGTTTAAATTGGATCTTATATTTTCAAGCTTATTTCTTAACCTCGTACTATCACAACAAAGTTCTCAAGATCTAGTAGGATTATTCTTCCTCGCCTGCGTTTCTGTTTTCATACAGAGCAACTCTGTTGCTGACAGTGAATAAATTTCTAATGTCATGAAGATGGCTGATAGTAGAGGTGTTTATCTAAACCCAATCAATTTAATTGACATCATAAAGAAATATCATGAAGAAAACTGGAAGAAATGGAAAGCCCCCTCGCTGTGTATGGATGCCTGCATTTTATGTTTATGTGATGTGCTTTTACTCTACTTCTTCTTTCGTCTGCATTTATATCTGCTCTTTATTAAAGCTTCAACTTATTTATATTCAGCTGGTATTTTATAACAACAGTAAGATGCAGAAGCTTGTTAATCAGACATCACTTTATAAATAAGCAAAAGCGTATATTATATGTAGGGTAAATGATAAGGAATTGTGAAATACAAATTGAACTTGTATAGAGACTTTCTTTCTTGGTGGCATTATGAACCATGGCAGGAATGTCTAAATAATGAAATAACCTGAACTCAGCATCAGGCTCTTGTTGAAAGTAAGGTTTCAAAAAGGCATCTTGGGCAGGGCACTGTATTTAAATTAAATATGCTGTCCCAGCTTCCTCATCCTCTTCTCGTTTAACCTACATTGTCATTACAAATGACTATCAAGTTGTTGAGAAAATCTTGCTGTTAAGGAGCAAATATATAAGATAATGAGCAATAAATGAATAGCTGAATGATGCAGCAGTGTAGGTAGATTTCTTAATATATTCACAGTAAAATCAGAAATGTATCACACATGATGATTGTGTAAAGAACACACATTTATAGTTTAGTGCAAGAGCTTCCTTCATAGCAATTTCTTCTATAGTGAGGAGGACACTGCTACCGTTTGCTCACAGTATTTAGAAGCAACAATAGTGAAACATTCTGAGGAAGTAAGGATTTGGACCCTGGTCAGAACATCCTTAATAAACTTGGGGAGAACTTATTTCTTATGGTCTGATCCTACCTCTAACAGGAAGCCAAGTACTTGTTTTGTGCTTTCCAACTATTAAAAAGAATGTGAGTTTCAGAAAGCTGTAGGAATCCAGTGATTGATCATAGTGATTACATTATGTTTTTATGGCTATTATTGTAAAAAGAGTACTAACCTGATCTGAAGCCATGCGAGCATTGGTGTTGTGCCTCCACCAAATACCCAGACTGTGAAAAACACAATAAGCAGTGCTGTTGTGAACATCATTTGTTTGGGTTGGGATTCTGTGTCTTGAATAGCCAATGCAAAAGCTATTGCACCACGTAAACCTGAAAAACAGATGAAAATGGTGAAATTTATTTGATGGAAAAACTGAATTTTACTCTTTCCAGCCCAAACCCAATTCCAAGGGTAGATTTTTTTCAACTGTTATTGCATTTATAATATGCTGACACAAGACAACTGAAAGTATGGTGTTTAATGCAAGTCTGAACAATTCTGGAAAAGTAAACAACAAAACGACTCTGATATTCACATATAATCATATATTTGTCTTACAGCCACTGAGTTCTTTGTCTTGAACAATATGGTTGAACAATATGGGAAATGGTTTTAAGCTGAGGGAAGGGAGATTTAGGTTGGACGTCAGGGGGAAGTTCTTTACGGAGAGAGTGGTGAGGTGCTGGAACAGCTGCCCAGGGAGGTTGTGGATGCCCCGTCCCTGGAGGTGTTCAAGGCCAGATTGGATGGGGCCCTGGGCAGTCTGGTCTAGCATTAGGTGGAATGATTGGTGGCCCTGCGTGTGGCAGGGGGGTTGGAGATTCATGATCCTTGAGGTCCCTTCCAACCCTGGCAATTCTGTGATTCTGTGATTAATTTGGCCTTTATACATGTTAAAAATAAATCTATTCCCTGCATTGTTTTATTCACTTCAGTAGAACTTCTTGTGAAATCAGGAGCAGTGAGAAAAGGGGCTAGCATAACAAAACTATCTGTAGCCAAATCCAATACCCATTTCTTGCTTGAGGCAGTAGAAAGCTCTGTTTTTTTTTAAAACATCTATGTTCTATGTACAGTCATATAAATATGATTTTAATGTAGTAGATACTTTTTAAAAGATAATTTAAGTATCTGAAAAGGGGTGCAGAATACATGTAGACTGAACTTGAAAATACTTGAAATAATACAATAGTTATAAAATTACATACCTACAGAAATGGGCTAAACAGAACACTAAGATGTGGTGAGAAAAGCTATCATGGAGTTTTCACAAGAAACAACCCTGTGGGTAGTACAAAGCTTGCTAAATAGGAACTCGCACAGTGACACGTTCAAAAAAAAAAAAAAAAAAAAAAAAAAAAAAAAAAAAGGAGGGGGAGGAGAAGAAAGCACATCAGTGCTTCCAGCCCTTAGGATGCGTTCTACAAATAACACTATATTTTCCAATGATTTTTCACTTATCTGTTTAAATTTATTGTTTTCTAAAATAATTGTACAAAGTGTAGAGAGCAAAGCCATTATATGTACACATTATGCACTGAATCCAAAAAGTACTCTGAGAGATTAAGCCTAATAACTAAACCTTTCATTTCACACTAATGGTTCATGCGGAGTCATTTAATTAACTGCTAACAAGCAACTATTTTTGTAGTTGAACTCTAAAGCTTTTTAGGAGTGCACAGCTAGAATGTGTTATTTGGTATAGAAGATATACAGTTTAAGCAGAGTAGAACACAAAGCTGTTTCTGCAGCAAGTACTGAGCTAGTTACATCAGCTGACACAGATCAGTGGCAGCAGGTTTAAAAGCTCTACTTTCACAAATATGGCACAGAATTCAAAAAGTAGGCTTTATGAAGAAGATGTGTCCAAGGATGCTCATCTTAACTGTTTTCTCATGGGGAGGAAAAATATCAGCTCATTTTGATGGTAGCTCATTCCTTCCTCCATTGAAACAGCCACTTTGCAGTGATTAAAGTATTTATCTAGGTGAATAGGTCAAATTAAATTTAAGACATTAAAATATTTCCTTCTCTTGCTAGTAGAGACTGCTGTCCTTGTTTTAGCTGATGTTGAACTTAGTTTGAGAAGCTCTGGCTTAATTATACAAGGACTAATCTAGTTTTGATTTGCAATAAATTTTTATCAGGAGTCATGATTAAAAACTGTTGTAAAAGTGAATCCACCCTTCATAATGAGTTGGTAGAGGCCTAAGATAAACAGATGAAGAATGTAATACATCAAAATGCTACATAATCCCCTTCCAAGCCTAACTCATCCACCCAATCTTAAGGGCTTGTTTTCAGACACTGATGTTCATGGTGATCTTGGCTGTGAAACTCAGTAAAGAAAATACTAAATGTTGCATGCATTCAGTAACAGCAAGATTGAAAACAAATGCAATCCCAGATTCTTTGTTTTCACTCCTGTGTGTGTGATGGCATGATGCATTAAGCCCAGCTTTCTTTGTGACCTATTCAAACCTGATGCTATGCCAAAATCTTGCTTCAAGAGCTCTGCTGATGTTGTGTAGGCAATAAGCATGTTGCTCCAAACTCAAGATTCATTGTCTTGTTTACTCATATCAGAAAAGATTACCAGAATAGATATATTTGTTTATCACTATATGCAGACTAGACACCATAGTACATAGTTTGTATTAAGAACACTATTGGTAACTGAGCACAAAATACCAACTATAAAGTGCAGATAAAAGGGAAAATTGCACATTTGTGAAGTGTTCAGTGACGTGTAAAGCTGCTGGCAGCATAAAAGGCTGTCAGTCCTTATTGGTGGTCTTACAGATTATGCAGTTTACTTTAAAAAGATGCTTTAAAGTTAGTTCTCTTCACTAAAGTCTTTCTTTGAAAACAGTTAAAAATATTTTCTGACTATTTTAACATTTGCATTTTAGACATTTTCTGTACTACCATTTTCAGTGTTCAGCTGCTAGATTGTACTTAGAAGTAAATGCATGTGTGCAAGTTCTCTCAGTTTCTGGCTGTTTTCTGCCTCTAGCCCTGTGCAGAATGAAATCTGATGAGAGAATGAGGACAAAAATTTGTTGAATAAGATATATTTTAAAACATCTTGAATTTCATACTTTATCTGAGGAAAAATAAAACAAAAAACAGTCCCTAGAATCTGGGTAAGAAATGATTGCAAGCTTTTGTCTAGTTAGCCACCTGCTAGCTTTACCTGGGTGATCTACATATATATCTTACACTGCTAACAATTGTAGATGAGCAGGCAGTCTGAAAGCCAGTTCCTAATGGATATATGTCACCATCTCAGGCTGCAATTTAGCTGACATTAACTGACATTTTCAGTGGCAGCTTTCAGTAGAAGTATTGAACAGATATAGAAATGAACTACTGTGCTGCTCTCTAGATATGTGGAATTATATAGGCATAAATGAGGCACCCTGATGTGGAGTATTCCTGATGAGGAAGCTTTAAATGTGGTGCATTGTGTTCTTCTTGTTTCCTGGATAAATGGATCAGTGTACAGCAGGGCTGTCAATCAAGAACTTAAGCTATAGAAGTAGGGATGGTTTTTTGTATAAAAAGCAAAAAAAGACAAAGAAGTGCTGAATTTCTAGCCTTAGAAAATGATTTCATAAATGTTATTGGAGGATCCATTTTTGTCTTTTAGTGAACAAATATTCTCAGCTCTCAAATATTCTTACTTAAAAAACTGAGTTTTTTCTAAGTTGCCTCAGAAAAATCAAGTGGAGGTATTTCTAGCTTGTACAAGTCCAAAAATAGTTTCCCGCTGAGATTTCAACAGTTCAGTGGATGATGCACTGAGAATAGAACTTGGCTTTCTCTCTTGGATGTCTTTGTAATTCTACAATGCTAACCAGATTTAAAAATGAGTAAAACCTCAATTTTGAGAGTAAACTTGAATTTAGAGAGTAAACTTCTCAGATAACAACTAACAGATAACACATGGAAAATTTGCCTGTGGAATTAATGTCTCCTAGTCATGTTTCATAATAAAACTGTTCCCTGAAGTGAAAAAGAATTGCTGAAAACCATGATCTGAGTATCAGTACTAACACCCTCAAAGTCTGATATTTATTTCTTAGTATACTGCCAGCTATACTACAAAAGCCTCTCAAACAACCCAACATAAAAATGTGGTATTTCCAAACTGGCAATTGATTAAAAGACAGACATTCTGGGTAATAGGTTTTCAAGAAAGTTAACTAAAATAGGTCCAGAGCACAGTGAATTGCCAAGAACATATCCATTTCCTTCAGTGGCTTTGAGGAGGCTATCTTGAATTCTAAGACAATGACTTCTTTGTGACTTAGTACTACTACCTAGAGGTGACTGGGAACAAGAACAATACCAAAATTGCACTTACCTGAAAACATCATCATGTGTTGAAAATTCCTGGGAATCTTTTGTTTTCGACCAAAATTCAAAAGGAAAGTAAGTGGATATATGTTGCAAGCTCTTGCTACAAAGACTGCCAGCTAAAATGTAAGATGTTGAGAAAAATAGTGGAGGAACTACTGAAAAAAAGCCAAAACAATGGAGCAACTTAAACCTAGCATTTTTACATAGTTATTCTTGATGTGTAGTTGAAATAAAAATGAGATTATCACCCTTTGTTTTACATACCACATCTTTCTGGTTCCAATTGCATTCTAGAACTGTGCAGTGGCAGAAGCTGTCTTCCCTAAACATCCTGGTTTCAAATTCATCATTACATTCCCATTTCAATCACTCTACTTTCACTCATCACATTTGTTTCACATGATGCATCACATTTGTATCACTTTATCTACAGTTCTTCAGTCAAATCACTGCCATAGATTGCAGTGATGGCATTATCTCCTTCAGCAGCAATTTGAAAAGAATATGCTTTTGGACATTGATTACTTTCTTGTTTCCTGAAGCCCCTATAATCTATGTCCAGCACTTTTTTTCCTTCACTTTCTTTGGAGATTTTTTCAAAAGGAGTTCTTTGTTATGTGTATGTGGAACTATCACAAAAGTTACTTTAATGAGAAAAATGGCTATTTCAGATTAAATAAAAGAACCACAATGCATTATACATGCATTTAGCAGGTTCCCTCTTTGTCGTGTGATTCTTAAGGCTCATTATGGTTGTAAGAGTCTGAGACATGCTGAGTACTGTAGAATCAATGAAGCATTTGAGTGGTAGTGTCTGAGTGCATCTTATCTGTGATGCCAAGTGCTTGCTTTGAGCTCCCACATACCTGGGAGAACAAGCATTAGCAGCAATTGCATCACTTGCCGTGTACTTTCCAGGCTAGTTTGAGAGGAAACAGGCTGAGGTCCTGAAGGTTCTCTGCAACACAAGCTTTCAGCTAGGCTACTGAGAGCTGCTCTCGCATTCCAATTTCTCCTCATGCTGAGTGCAGGATTCATTTGTGTTGTGGTGGTGGGTGGCTCCTGCAGCCTGTTCTGTCATCTCAAACAATGTTTTGCCAGCAGAACTCTGGTGCAGACCTTAATCATTTGGAAATTAAACAAAAATTTAATGCAACTGTGTAATCCCAAATTTCAAAGCTTCAACTGTTCATCAAAAAGTGAAGAGCAAAAGGGCGGCTGCTTTGAGTTGAAGAAAAATCATTATGTGAACAATTAAAGTGAAAAGAACCCATATCACCGTGTAAGTGGGTAATGGACTGGCACAGAAACCATGGTAGAAACCAAGACAAAACTTCCCACTTGTATCTTTATCACATATGATGTAAATAATACTGTGTGTACTAGAAATATCACATACAAAGGAGGGACGATCTGAGAAATGCTCAGCTGTTAATTTATTCCTTGGGACTTAATATAATATAGGTAGCATTGGGAAAGTTCTGCTTATGGGACATTTCTATGTGGAGATGGTATATCTGTAAAACAGCAGCAGCATAAGAAGAAGATGTAAGACCACCAGCATATGTGCATCAAGGCAGGTTTCCAGATACACATAATAAAGCTGAATTCTTTGGACCTGACAAAAATTAGATTTTTGGGGATCTAAGGAGCTGACAGGTTTGCTTGTTGACTTTTTAATTTTTTAAATGTGCAGCACACATTATTCATACATACACACAAATGTAATTATGTACTTGGATAGATAAAGAGTTCTTTAGCACAAAGGATACAAATGCACCCAATATAAAAAGAGGGTTGAAGATATGATTTTGAAAGGTGAACAGTGCAAGTCCCATATAACAGAAGATGACGTTCTCAGCTAAGAAATTCATGAACTCGAACAGCTGAAAGAGAGAACATAATTAGGACTCGTATTTAACTAATCACTCTATCACAAAGTTACCTAGGAATATTAATATATATAATACACCTTTATATTAAGGGATGAGGAATCAAACCCATTTCATGGGAAAACTTTGAAAACCATTTAGCATTACATATAGTTAGTGACTTTGCTTTAAAAGTCACAGTTACTTGTTTTTTTCTGGTTTGTGTAATAAAGCTTGGTAAGAACACTGGTGAAAGACAGGAACAGAAATTAAGTTACACAGCCTTCAATGCACACTGCAAGGAAGCTGAGGAAATTTAGCTTTGGTCAGCTTACACAGGTGAACCTGCAAAATGGCTCAGAACCTGGCTAAAGTGACTGCACGCTACAATAATGGGGATGGTGCAGTAATGCCAAGAAATAGAAAATTCCTGAGTGGATTTTTAAAGAGCCTATGCCTTTAAAATATAGCATGACATTTTTTATTATCATGAATATTTTGTAGGTGAAAATTTTATTGCTTTTTTTGAACATAAGTGTGAACTACTCATTTCAAACCAATGTTCCTGTATTTAGGATAGATTTAAATGATAAGCCTAAAATATAATATTATGGTAGGATTTCTCCTGGATAGAACAAAAACAAACCAGAACAAAAACTAACAAAAAAACTCACTGAATAAACAAAGCCAAAATAATCATTTGCCTTGAGGGGATGTTCCTGATTGCCCTTGCAGCTGATTATATAAAACCTAATATCAAATACAAATGTTCATGTTTCTTCACATCTGGAAAAAAAAAATCATTGTTGCTGAGTATCTAGAGAGGAGAGATGAGGATTTACTTCTGAAATCACTTTTGGGCTCAGGAGATACAGAATTAGGGCCAAAGTTTGTCGATCTGTCTACAAACAGTCATAAATCATTCTACCAGAAATGTTACTATGGAGACATTTTCTTCATCTTCCATGGGCTTATGTACTTTGTGTAATATGTTTGTGCTTCTAAAAATAAATATCTAATAGCAGTCACTAAGATCTAACAAAGGAAAAATGAGAGCTGTCAGAATCATTATTTAAAACAACTTTCACAGGGAAAGAGGCATTAAGCCTAATAGTATATGGGAGGATATTGTGGACCCTATGGCAGCACCATCAGTTATCCCAAGCTCACACTCTACAGTCTCCATTTAGTGCTGCACTGATGAACAACATGAGAACAAACACAAGAAATATTTGCAATTTAATAGACTTAAATTATTCAAGTTTAAATTAAATTTAGTGAAAAACTACTTGTCAAAAAGACTCAAGTTATGAGACCTAGAGACCAGTAAGGATTATCATATATCTTTGCATTTCCATACAGTGGATAAATATGGTTCTGTTTCTTTGTGGGCATGTCACTTGACAAATATTTCTAATCATTTAAACAGTCTTGCAGGAGCATCATGACAGGATTTATATATATCTATAGATGTGTATCTATAAAAAAAATCTTTAGAGGAAGGGGCATTACTGTGAGGAGTTGCACTGTGTGCTTTAATTGCTGGGATAAGATAAAGTTTTGTCAGTGGTTTCAAAGCAGGGTGTTGTTTCACTCTTCATTACAAAATCTTATTTTAAACTTAAAGTAATGTAAAATTAATCTGCTGCTTGTAGTTTCCAAAACATTTTCAAACTTTTTTGATGTACAGTTTTTGAAAGAAAATAGAAAGAAAATGCTACATCATTGTTTCTTGCTATATATTTTCTCAATAGTCTTCAAAAGTAGATTCATACTCTTGACTCTTGCCTGAAGTGCTTTCATGACATTATTGATTTTATACTTCTCAATCCTTTTCTCTCAGCAAACTTGTCTAGACGAAGTCCTTAAGTATTTTGTTCATAACCATAAATTTTCTTCCCTTGTCTCCCACACAGCGAAACTAACCTCTTTCTACTTTAAATGAAATTGGCATTAAAATGATTGCATGCTGCCACTAGTTTCCCTAGGGCTACCAGAAAATTATACTAGAAACCATTTCAGTATATACATAGCATTAATCTACTTTTCCGTATAAAACAGAATAACCTCTCATTTGTAATATGCAATTTTGACTTCTCTGTAAAGTCTATACATTTGCTTATAGGTCTAAAAAAATGTGTAATTATTAATATAAATTTGAAATAATGTCAACACATCTCAGGGTATAGGTCAGAGTAAAAAAAAAAAAACTACGAGTGCAGTCTGGGCACTGGATTTAGGTGTTGGCTCAGTAAATTACTGACACTGCTTGTTGCTTTACTTGAATTTTTTTCTGTAATGTGTGGATATTACAAAAGATTGATATGAAAAATATCTATTAAAATTAATATATTTAGGCATTTAAAAACTCACAGTTCAATGAATATGCTCTTGTTTTTTATTACCCTTAGTCATTGTAAGTGCACAGAGATGTTAGAAAATCTATTTGAACTTGGCATAGTCTTCTGGGAAGTGTCACTTAGAGCTCAGTTACTTACTGGGAGAGAGAGGAATGAGTGTAAATTATCTACGCTTCAGGTCTTACTGCAAATACTAAGTTTATCTAAGCACCTTTTTCTTCCTTTTCTCTATCCTTCACAGTTAAGTGAGATTTCCAAATAGGGAAATTACACCAGAACAGGTTTTGCAAGTTGATCAATTTTATAGAACTACTTCAATTTTCACTGAGCATTAGAGAGATTATCTTGGTAAGTAATTAGTGTACCTGGAAGTTGGAACACTATGTTTCCATCTCTACTGTAATAAAAATAGAATTCTTTGAAAGAGAAAATGAACATATTCTGCACCACAATCTCTTTATGGCTGAGGAGATGGAAAATGTAACATTTCTCAAATATTAATATTTCAAAGAGCATTCTTTCATCTCAAGAGAGTAAAGTTTGTCAGAGTACTGGGTAAGAGCAGAATTACAAACTTCACTCTTTTATCTCAGGGGAGTAATATTAGTATGAGAGTATTGGGTAAAAACTGAATGACATCTGCAAGAACTTCCTGCAAACTTCAGTGAATTTTACTCCCTCATGGCAATATTATATTCCTCCATTTAATACCTGCTGAAGGAATGTCATTCACCTCTTACAGGTATATGGTTAAGATAGAACATGGAGAAATGCCACCAGTATATGGGTTATATCTTACAGGAATATATCCTTATAACATTAAAACAGGGAAAATTGCAACAGTCTCAGATCAGCTGGGGATCTGAGATGTAAGATTGGCTATACTTTGTGGGAGAGACTTGGTGGTGACAGCTATTAAAAAAAATCCCAAGCAGTTAGTTTTAAGTGATGGCTATAAAATTTGGTATTTGAATAATGCTATTTAATTAGAACAGAACTGTAAAAAATGTTCATGAAGTCAAGGATATTGATAAATCAATAGCTGATGAAAATTGCTTTTCTCTATTTTGAATTAAAATGCTGTGAGTATGCAGGCTATCGTATTTTTCTAAGATTGCAGAAGTCTTTATTATAATGTAATTGCTTTATTTAATCTTTCTCTTTTGATTAGAGGTTTCAAAATCTGAAAAAGAATGCTTGAATTTGAAGCTCTTGCCTGAAATCATTTATACAGCTGTAATGAATCTTTGCAGCTTAGTGATATAGTGCTTGTCTGTAAAATAACAGGCTTAGATGAGGAAGTAGTAAAACTAACTGAAATTCATGATAGACTAACTTGTATTCGGTAACAATCTAGATATCTGAGCATATTTGATTGTGAGGTTAGAAACACTAACAGAGGAAAATTCTTACAAGCTTTCTTTTCATGTCTTGGTGAGAAGTTCTTGCCTCTTTTTTAATCAGTAGACTTTGCTACTGGATTTGATAAATTTCATCCCAATAAATTTGTGGAAGGCACACTAACTTTCTATTTCTCTCTAAAGCTGGGAGATGTAAAAGATTTCTAAAGCCTGTGGAAGAAGTGGAGAAACTAAAAGGAGAAAGAAATAAAGAAAATGTCAGCATCAAGGGAGAGGAAAGGTCAACAATATTTTGTATTTATAAAATCTGATTATTCTTTGTGGCATAATCTACACCCCACTACCAAAACTCTATCTTTAAGATAGTTATATGACTGGCAGAGAACATGCTAACTTCTGAGTAGTAACAGAAAAATGTTTGTTCCAGACATTAAGGCAAATCCTTTCTTAAATTCAGAGGTCTGTAATGGCTTTGCTGAACAAAAGAAGTTTAAACCAAAGAATGTTGAAAATTAAGAAGATAAATTCAAATCTTTCTTGTTTTTAACTACTTCAATCAATGAGAGCAACAGAGAAAGATTTAAAAAATAAAATCTACAGAACTTCTAAAGTTTGACCTCAGGGTGAAAGAAAGCATAGGATGGTAATATTTACAAGGAATCTGCCAAAATCTTTAATTACATGATTAAAATCAGCCCTCAGAAAGAACTTTATTCTCTTTTATCAATTAATTGACAAGAGACACTGTTCAAAATTTAACACTCAATATATTTATTACTTATATGAGTAAAGTATGAAGAGCAGTAGAAGTGTTGGTATGCGCTTGTGATAATACACCAGATTCAGAACCTCATGAGAATTTATATGCTGAGTTCAATAAACTTCAGATCTAGTTGTAGAAAAATTGATTCTATCATTATTCTTGTAATGAAGTTGCCTAGGAAGGGGATTTCTGCAAACTTTGTTTTCTTCTGAACGCGTTTGCAACACGGGAAGCCTTTCAAATGTTATTTCCCTTCCCTGCAGAAGAAATAGCTTTTACAGCTATAAACTGGTCATTAAGTTGTTCCTAAAAATGACCTGAGAGTGTCAACTTAATGGAAAGTATTGCCAAGACAGAAAGGATGATGCTGATGCTCCTAGAACTTCTAAGTTATTTGGTTCACAAATTAGAAACAATCATCGAAGAGTGTTTTTTAATCTTCAGTTCTCCTGGAGGAATGTGAAAGGTGAGTGGAATAGAGAAGTATCATTTGGCACCTCATCCAGAGAAACGGTTTTTCAAGAAAGGTAT